ATACTGTCAAAGTGGAGGGGGGGGAAAGATAAGGTAGAGGCGGTTAAGTGGGCCATAAGGATAGGGGATTGGGTGAAAACAAGTGTATAAAACATTGTTCCCCCCCCCCCCCCCCCTCTTTTTTTTTCTTTCCCCCTTTCTCTTCCCCCTTCCTCCCCCCTTTTTCCCTTTCCTTCTCTCTCTCTCCCTTCTCTTCCCTGATTGTTCTCTTTCTTCTCTCAGGTTGACTTGATTTCCTCTTCCAGTGTAGTACAGGCCCGAAGATCCTAGTTAAGTCACCCTTGGCGTATTGGTGCTTTTATTAATGCTGTGGGACATGCTAGATTCCATTCAGAGTACTTCTCAGGACTGCCCAATGACATTATATTATTTCCTATTGTTGGGGCCCCTATACAGCGGGTCTTCCTACCCCTTTTTCTATGTTATTCTAATGTATGGTTGATTCTATGGTTTTTGTACCTTGTTCTAAAAAACTATTTGAAAAATTTAAATAAAGACTTTGTAAAAAAATAATTTACTGACAGGTGCATTTGACCTCTTTCTGACTTGCATTTGACCTGCTTCAAGTGGGTTTTGCATTCTCATACACTTCCATGCAGAGGCGTCTCCAGGCTCGGTGAGAGAGGAGGGGATGTTCATCCGGCAGGATAAGGTATGCCGTCTGGGTACCCTCCTCTCTCGTGCAGCTGTTGGGCTCTAGGTCCACGACCAAGTTCCCTGACTCTTAAGTGGTTTTGGTGTCGGCTGGTGTGGACCGCACCCCCCCCCAGCACTCCCCTTGTGACACCACTGCTTCCATGGAAGTGTGGACTCTGATGTGAACAAACACTTATCAGTTTGCACTAACAGAGAAACTCTTATAACTAAGCTGTTTATATTGCTGGATAAGCTTGTGATTTTCAGTGAATGCAACCAAGTACCATATATGCAATTTGTCATCGTATGCTCACTTTGAGTTTTTCAAGTTTGTAACAGGTTGACTTTACATAGGGATTACTTTAAAGCTGAACTTCAGCTTATTATATGTTTTTAATGTATTGCTTAGCATTATTTAAAACAATAATAGCAGTTCTCACTGCAATACTCACCCCATCTTCAGTGCTGTTTCCATGCTGCTCCTCTTCCAGTCAGATTGATACCCAATGTAATTCAACTGCCTCCTGTGAGTCCAGGCTGTCAGAGATATCCCCCCGCTGAGAGTGCATAATTAAAAAAGAATGCTGTAGATATGGGCGCTACACCATCATATGGCACTGCTCCCGTCAGAGGAAGATGGAGAAATAGGACCCGTGTTGTCACAAAACTGGTATCCTAGAAAAAGGATGTATATTTGTATATTTTTTAAAATAAGTAAATAAATAAAGGGGGGTGCTTGGTGGAAATGGGATGGGGGGGGGTAAGGCTAGAGTTCAGCTTTAAATAAGGATGAATGTCCAACTACATTCAGTTACAGTTAAAGTTTAGTAATTTCCCTTTATAATTAAAATGTACCTTTTAAAACTTGTTATGTAAGCTATCTGCAGGCTGCTAAAGCTGACTTTGTGATCATGCTAGTTTCCTTTCTGCCATACTGACCCTCTAGCTCCAGTAGTATCTGACTCACTAATTTATTAAATACATGCAATCAATGAATCAGAGTGAAGTCAGAACTCTTGAACTGCATACGTGCTTCCAGTCAGGGACTTAGACTATGGAGACTCATGAGGTTGCATGATAACCAAGCAACCATCATCTTCATGACAGTTTTCCTTTATTAGAGCATACTTGAATGTGTATTTAAACAAAACTGACTAATCCTAATACTCTTTATTAATGAGTGATGATGAAAGTGGCACCTTATATGGTTTGTATCTCTGTGTAGATATAGAGATGTTTGATTTGGTGAAGAATGTTTACTGTTTTAATGATTTCTGTTTTATTAGGTTGCTGTTATTTTGTGCAAGACAACAGATAGCACATTCATAAAAAAGGCCTAACCACCTTGCCGAGTCACTCAGTATGTAACTGCTGCCAATGTTTTGTGATTTTTGATCTAGTGGGGAAGGGTTAGAGCCTCTGGCAAGATTTTATTGCTGTCTGACCAGGGTTAGACAGACCATTTAGGCACTGCCCGAGGGCCCGCAGCCATGAGGGAGCCCGTCCCCGAATCTGGGGGGAGGGTGCAGCTACATGAGGGCCCCAGGCTGGGGGGCCCCACTGAGATCCGATCCCCCACTGGACTAATGGTGCCTGCACCTGCCCTTGCTTAGACTCTCTGCATGTGCCCCTGGTGAGACCTTCGCATGTGCCCCTGGTGTGACTTCCGAATCTGCCACTGGTGAGACCTCCGCATCTGCCCCTGGGAGGCATTTGTGTTTGCCCCTGGTGAGACCCTCGCATCTGCCCCTGGTGAGACCTGGTAAGACTTCTCCTGCACGGCACTCATGCTCCTCGCTGTCCGTCTGCTCCCTGTCCTCACCTCCAGGGGTAGAGTGACACAAGCCGCAAGAGAAGCCTCCTCGCCTTCCGGTCTCTTACCAGGTACGTGACACAGACGCCGGCAAACTACAGAATTGGGCGGAGCTAGCTATCACTGCTAGCTCCGCCCAATTGTTTATGTTTTGCCGGCATCGGTCAAAATGCCATTATGTGGACGGGACGGCGGCCAGCTTTTTAAAAAAACATTATTTCTATTTATTTCTTATTTCATCGTCGTCGTGGACAACGATGGACGCCCTGATTGACCCTGGATTACGTCAGTGGATCCATTTTTATCAAAAGTCTGGACTTTTTCATAACTATTTTATTTAACCCTTTAGTGAATGGGTAGGGGTACAAGTACCCCTTACTTATTCACAGTTGAGGGGGGTGGCATCTGGGTGCCCCCTTAACTAAAAGGGCACCCCAATGCAAATAAGCCCCCTTTCCCGCAGACCCCCACAACCACCGGGTCAGGGTTGTGGGGACGAGGCCCTTGTCCCCATTGGCACGGGGATACCCTCCCAGTGCGAGGGCATGTGGCCTGGGAGGGGGGCGCTCGCTCGTCCCCCCCTTTCGGGCCCTGACAGCCCTATGCTTGGATCAAGGGTCTGATATGGAATTTTAGGGGGGACCCCATGTTTTTTTCCCCTCATTTTGGGGGGTGTTGTTCCTCCTTAAAATTCCTACCAGACCTTAAGGGCCTGGTATGACTGTGAGGGGGGACCCCACACACTTTTTTTTTAAATGATCCCTCCTAACATTCCTACTTAACCTAAAGGGTCTGGTATTTTTTGGGAGGGGGAACTGCACACTTTAAGAGTAAAAAAATGTTTTTTAATTTGTCAGTTTTGCTGCAGCAGGTTCTAGACATCGTACATATCTGCCACTTCACAGGCAGGTTAAGGGGACCTCCCAGGCACGATATTTGAAGGAATTTTTCATTTTCATTCTTACCCTTTAAGTGATGTTAAAATCACTGCTCCCTTAAAAACGTTTTGTTTGTTATTTTCATTGATTCCTGTCCCCCAGGGCAGTACCCAGACCCCCATACATTTTCCCCAGGGCAGTACCCGGACCTCCATACACCTTTTATGGCCAATAACTTGCATATAAGCCCTCTTAAAGGGGACAATCATTTTCGAAAGTTCGACTCCCATTGACTTGCATTAGGTTCGAGTTTGTATTCGATCTTTTCGGCCGTTCGGGTGTTCAAATGCGAACCGAACACGGGGGTGTTCGGCCCATCACTAATTCCTAGTACATTGCTGATGCTATAACAGAATAGCATATGCTGGGACTTTACAACTCCTTTAATATACACAATTTAGTACATATTTGCATTAGATATTCATTGCAGTGGAACAGGCTCTATACTGTACATAATTTGCCATTTTTAATGCTCATTCTTTAAAAACACAAATAGTTGCTGTTTGTTTTTCCTATCTGGCAGTGATGACATTATAGATTGCTTTCATTTCCCTCCAAGTATAATAAACTTTAATCAAGAATATGCATACCAGGAAAAACTTCAGTATTTAGAGCATAAGACAGTATAATCAAGTAAAGAAACAATTTGTAGTAATTGGATTCAGTTCTGCAAATCACAATTTAGCCAAGCAACATATCGGCACCTATAAAGCAGTTATAGAGTTTAATTTGTACCAATGACATTTATTTTCCTAAAGCACATAGAAAAAAATTGCCGTCTGGAGACGGCAACCCGCAGATGCTGCAGTGCCGTCTGTCCGTTTTTTTACTACGGGCAGACGGCAAGAGGTTAAAGTAGAACTCTAAGATTTTTTTTTCCTTTCTAGATTGCCAATCTTCACTTATCCTCTCCACACTCCAGCGCTGTCCCCCCACTTCCACTTCAGTGGTCGTCCTCTTTCCTGAATTCCAGGCATGTGACCCACCACCCATCTCCGACCACCACTTAAGGGGTTTCCTTTTCTTCTTTCGGCTGTGGGGCCAATATTTACACACAAATGACTTCCTGTCCACTAATCCCATGGATGAAAACTGCAAACAGTAACTCTTTTGCTAACATAAAGCAAGAAGCTGCAAAAGTTTCACCAATGCCCAAGGTGAAGATACTTTTACATATAGTACATAATTGTAAAGTAGTGATAATTGTTTAACAGCTCTTCAATAACAGTTTTTGTTGTTGTTTTAGAATCAGTGCTCCATTCAGAACATGGGAACACAATATGAAACTAATTGAATAATATATTTGTTTAATAAATACCATATATTTGACTTCACAGAAATAAAACTACTAACATAAAATAACTTCTGTTTGAACTATTATAGTAGTTTTGCAATTATGTGGGAGGTATTAAGCATCTGCCAGTTTCACCACATTAACCATGAACTTTCATTTGCCTTTTAACCTTTGCCCTCATTTTTCCCTGAAATGCAAATGGTAGTACTATTGCTACAACTTTGAAGATAAGGATATGACAAACACTAGTTGCGTTGGAAGTTACATTATACAGTTAGGAGTTCCAGCTTATATTAAAAAAGATTAAATTTCTACATACCTCATTTACATGACCCACTGCTCCGTAAATCTTTGCTATCTGTCCAATAAGTCCTGGGAAATGTTCACTGACTTCCTTCATTGCGGAAAGAGACCCAGTCAGGGTGAGGGGTTCATATGATGATATGTCTAGGAGTATGTTAAGGATGATATCACTATAACTGGGATCAGATAAATATTCCATAAGGAAAGGGACAGTTTCTGTTAATACCTATTAAAAGATAAAAAGCACATAAAATAATTTATTCAAAGTCATCATAAGATTTTATGGGATATGATTGTCTGACCTATTTATAGACAGACTGTTAAAATAAGCATAAATCAGATCATAAAAAAACATAATGAATCACTTTGGGTATATATCAGATCATAAAAAAACATAATGAATCACTTTGGGTATATATCAGATCATAAAAAAACATAATGAATCACTTTGGGTATATATGAGTGCATAACTAGCAGTGGCACAGAGTGGGGAAACTCCTTCATGGTCTATTACATTGGGGAGCCTAACCATAACTGCTAATTCCCTTTATCTATCAGCTATGTACTAAACAAAACAGCATTTCTTCTAATCCCTTTTTATTTGCTCTTATCTGCCATCTAAGCCTGAAGTTGGCTTCTAGGGACTTACAGATACTGTAGCTGTTACGCAGTTTTAATCTAAGTATTAAGATCAGAAAGGGACAACCTTTATATGAAGATTAAGGGAGTCAGTAGTTAATATTTTGTATCAGGACCTTATGGTTTTTAGTTACCCTGCTGAATATATGCTATGTAGCATTATTTAGTATAAAGAGAAGTTACGCATTCCGTAGGAGTATAGCTTCACTGTCAATTATTTCCTTCTTCTAATATACTGCTGATTTACAGGATAACTGCAATGTAATATACTGAAGTGTAACGGTCCTTAGATGTGTTGGTTTTACTTTGTTCTTTAATTATTATTTTGAGACTCATGAGGTCTTCTAAATTTTCATCTATGAGTTTAGTGCCATCAGCATATTGAAGATGTTTGGCGTTTCTTCCACCAGTCTTGAAACCCCTATTATCTTCCTCCAGCCCTTTCTGCTGATATATGTTCAAAAAAATGTTTCATAATTTTGTCTTACTCATTTGCTGATCTGGAACATGTTTGTGTTTCACAGCATAAGATACTGTTCTACCCAATGCACATAAATTGCTCTTAAAAAAAACCCAGAAACTATTGAACCCTTCCTAATCTAGTCTGTACAAAAGACTAACATTAGATTTTTGTGTCTTATATAAACTTCCAGTAAGTGAACACTGCAGCTATCTTAATGAATGTCAACTGGAAAATATTTCAGCAGGAATCAGACACAGTTTACAATATGTTTAAATGTTATGTAGCCACATAAAGAAACCATGTCTTCTGCTTACATAATCACCTTACTGTATTAAGTGACAACACAAGACTATGCCAAAGTAAATGGCTTTCATTTGTATACATTATCTTGGGATTACACATAGCCTGAAAAAAAAATACATGTTTCAAGTCTACATTGTGATTGCTTCCTTTTCACAATTTATACCTTCTCATTATTAATGCAAAGCATGGCATTCACACATGTCTTATATAAAGTACAAAGCATATGTGCGTAAGTTCCTAAAATTACTGAAAACTATATGTTTCTTATCAAAAAACAAAAGATTGTAACGCTTCATGAAATTCTAAAGCATGAAAATACCATATTGTATGTAGATCCATAATATATAGCAGATGCAATATGCCCAGAAGCATACCAATTATATGCACATCAGTAAATGCAGTTTCTACACTAAGATCACATTTCAATTATACTAAGCTTTATGCCATTTTAATTTACTTTTTCCCTCAAATAGAAACCATTTAAAAATTGCAACTTTGGATAATTTGTATGAAATAATTTAAATGTTTTTTTTTCTGATGGTTATATAACAATGAAACATGTTAAGGATGTAAAGAAGGGATCAGGCTGCCACTGATACGCATCCTGAATGCCCTAGGCAAGGGCTTATTTGGTATTTTCACAAATCTAGGTCTGTACAGGGAGTGGCAGGGAACCTGGCTCAGGAAGCACAATTATAGCTGTGGCATGACATAAGGTTACCACCTTTCCTCCTATCTCCCAAAAAACTTTTCAGCCTGATGCACATTATACCTGGAGGGAAAGAGTGATTATAAGCATTACATTGTATGCCTCATTTGCTGCACTGAATTAAGATTGCATTAAAGAAGAACTCCAGGAATAAAATAAAAAAAATAGCTGTGCATTGGGGCTACCCCCACACTGCGTGGGTTAAGTGCTCCTTTTGTCTAGTAGACTGAAATATAACAGTTTTACTTACCTGATCCTCTGTCCCATGGCAGTCAGCATTCAACTCTCTCCCCCACAGCATTGGAATGTATTTTAACTCCTGGACGTCTAATGCAAGTCAATGGACCTGCATTAGACATGATGACATCAGCAGTCTAGAATCCTGGCGGGACCAAGGATCAGTGGAGTATAACTGCTTTATTTTAGTCCCCTAAACAAAATGAGCGCTTAACCCCTGCAGTACCCTTAGAGCTCAAATCCAAAGAAATCCATTTTATAACATTTTGAATAGAGTGAGGAGGAGTAATACTGTATTCTTTGTTACTGCTGCAGAAAATGTCCCTTATATCCTGTAACTCCACTGGACAGAAAGAAAAATGCTGCATTCACCACACGAGAACACACTGAATATGGTGTGACAAGGCCCTTAAAATTGGATAGTTTCGACCAGGAAAAAAAAAGTTATTGGCTGAAGTTGGAATTTGATTTTGTTCATTATATCCAAAGTGTGTTTCACACATATCACCTTGGCTTCAAAAACACTAGCACAAAATGATTTGGGTCCCAGTCACAAATAACATTTTAAAATAACATATAAAAGGAGTTACATTCATTTTACGCCAGCATATTATCTTCAGTTCAAACTTATAATTTTATTAACATTTCAGCACAACAAAAGCAAGATACATTACAAAGAGCAGAAATAAGGAGTCATCCCCATTTGAGACATAGCATAACCAAAGAGTAGTGGTTCATATGTAACATAACAAACAAGCAAAGACAATGAACAATGAAGTGCCAGCATATTATTTTAAAGATGATGTATACACAAATATTTACATTAAGCTATATTAGCAGCCTTGCAAGGAGAGATAAATAAAGACCAAGAGAATTGATGAAATACAATGTCTCCTTCCCTGGAACCCCTCCAGTAATGCTCACAAAAGGTCTAATTTGGCCATGTAATTCCTGTATAGTGAGCTGATTGGAGTGCAAAATGTCTGATCCTTTAAGCACCAATCATGTGGCCAAAGGTCTAGGCATTTGGTTACGCACTCAATTTGGGAGGGAGGGGGGCTGCAGCATTGTCTCCAAGAAAGGTAATTAGGTTAGCTTTTATGCTACTCTATATTTATCTATCCTACGAAGGCTGCATAGGTTTAGATTGAGATACATGTAGCTTATTAGAGAACCAGTGATGCCGTTATAATAATTTAGTTTTAGACTTGGATTTTTTTTTGTCTAAATTATTTGGATGCAGTTTTAAAGTGGAACTAAACACAACAAGTGAAGTTCACCTAAGATTTAGGGAACATTTAGAAATGTTGATTGTGTCCAAACATGTACCGTTTGTCTTTAAATCCTCCTAAAAAATTGCAGAATAGTACATCAGGGTGCGTAAGGGGTGCACTCTTGTGCACATAGCCTCTTAGCTGCATACCTGCAGTGAGATCTATGGCTCTGCTGCCTCTGTTTTCAATGTCACTCACAGCAGGTGCACACAGAAAACAATTGGTTTCTATGTGTCCCATGTACACCACAACATTGGTGTGATGTGTGGTACAGTGCTGAAAAATGCAGACATGTTGGAATTTTCCCCAGTGCATTGGAGGTCACCGCAGTGCAGCACAATGCACCGCTGTGCAGAGACCTTTGAATGTAGTGTACACTTTGTACACTGCCAATAAAGTAGAAAAAAAAATAGTGCCATGCAGACACCAGCTGCACACTAAAACATAGCATTTTAGCATGTGCCTGTTGTGGGCCCAATCTTAATAAAGATATACTGGACTTAACATGGAAACATTTATAGTATTTTAAGCATTTTCTTAGAATGCCAGAATTAATTAAGGCTGAAGAGAATGAACCCGCATATTGATTGTCAATTTGGAAAAAAAAATTACAATAATAGAAAGCTGCCTAAAAAGGGAGTTCGGATTATACCTTACAATATAAATATAGTCTGAAGATTGACCACCCAAGTAAAACAGAGTCAGGGCCAAGGATCAAGTGTGTCCAATCTGGAGACTAACATTGAGTATCACATCAATTGCAGCCAAAAAACACACATTTCTACATCCTGTTATTCTACTAAAGGTACATGACATCAGTTTCTGTAACACTGGCTGAGTGGGCACCATGTAACTTGTGTCTAAAACACAGAACTGAGGGGACAAATGCCAGCATACAAAACACTCTTTACACACCAACAGTCTCCCCCCATTTATTTATTTTCTTTGGAACAAAATGTACCAATTTAGCTGTATTTGTTATGCAATTCATTTAGCAGCAAAGTTCTGTAACTCATAGCAACCGGTCAGATTTGTCGAAGTTAGGTTGGTGAATTCTGATCGGTAGATTTTTGTCACTTTGCACATTTCTCACTACCACTTATAATAAACCAATTCATTTTCTCATTTTTTTTATTTCAATATTTTATAAAACCCAGGAAGCTTCACATTTTCCAGATGATATTGAACAAGATTCTAAATTTCATCAGCACTGATAACATGGCAACCCCCCTTTCTCAGTGCAAGTTCCCTTTAAATAGTAAATCAGAGTTTTTCATATTCTTATATTTACACGAATATTTTTTAAAACAAAACAAAAAACATTGTTTTTTAGTTTTCCCCCACAGATGATACAATAACAAAACACGAGGACAATTAATGGTCTGAACTCATGTTTATTTAATTGTCTATGGAGACACCAGTGGTGAGCTATTGGCACCATTATGCCCAGGATCTACGCTCTGCTGAGACTATTACAAGGGGGCTTTAATCACCCTGTAGAATTTATCTTTGGGTTTAATTAAAAATGATACAGCAGGACGATCAAGATGCTTGCTGCTGCAACAACAGAAAATAAATTCCTCAGTATAGAGGTGCCGAACTAAAATCTAATTTGAGATATCTTAATCCTAGAACTGGAAGCAACCCAGGCATATCCATCCATAACTGAAATAAATACCAATGGACAACAGTGTCTATGTTACCTTGGGTTGTTTGGTTTTGGCAATAGCCTGTAGTAATCTTAGCATGTGATGCTGTTCGCCTTCATTTAAATGGGACATCTGTGATACCAGGTCCCTCAAGCAATGATGTATTGGTTGTGGCCTCATGTCATAGACTGATGGAAGCACTCGGAGCAGCATGCTATTACCTACAAGAAAGAACAATGCATTGGACTGAACACAGATTCCTGTGCATTGATACATGCAGTTCTGAACAATTTAAACTTATTTCCCACATACTTAGCTATTTATCATATACTTCTTGGACTGTATAGCTAACAATATTTCATATACATTTGTTTGACTATTGAAAAAAGTTTAAATAATGTCTGACATACCAAAGTGCTTTGACAAATTGCAGAACCAAAGTTGTCAGAAAAATGATTTCACAAACAAGCCTCTGGAAACAATGTTCTCTTCAAAACCACTAATAATAGTTAATCTAATTTTTTTCTGAAGTACTACTGACGTGATTGTAGTTGTTACAAAATGTGTACAGGTAATTCAAGCACATCAGTTATTATATGCATACCTAAACTCAGAAGCAAAAATTTTATATGTTTCATCTCCCCAATTCTATTTTGGCAGCTGCATTCCTTTTCTTTTTTTCCCTTTTTTTTTTAACCTGGTGATCCAGGCAGTATGTCATTTTCATCCTTTATCCCAAAAGCAAAGGAAATAACCTGTTGATGTAACTGCTTATTAGGGATGCACCGATACCGTTTTTTCTGTATCAAGTACGGGTAATGATATTTATCTTTCGGTACTCGCCGATACCAAGTACTGATAGCGGTACTTCCGCTAGCATGGAGCTGGCTTCCTGGGCACTCATTACACGCCGCCCTGATTCTTGATTGCCCGTGAAGCCAGCTCCATGTTCCCTCACAGCACTGCCGGTGAGAGGAAAGCTCCCTCTGACCTGAAGTTCCGATACATACCACCGATACCGGAGCATTTGGGTGAGTACTTGTACATGCTCGGTATTGGCACCGAAACCAAAACTAGAATTAGTGCATCCCTACTGCTTATAAAGTGTTAGCTTGATTTCGGGTTTAATTTGTTAGTGAAGTCCATCTAAATCTTCTAGTACATCTAACACTACCCTCTCCACAAGATGACAATGCTGTTGTACAAGGGTGGCTCTAATGTTCCTCCATTAGAGCTACCCTAAGACAGGAAGTGTGTTACTAACCTGATCAAAAGGTGAAAATAAAAGAAAAAAGTCTGAAAAATGAAAACTAATGCAGCCACCACATCTAAAGATTGGTAAGCTGAAATATGAATCCTTGGAAGTTTACTGCAGCAAACATTTTCCAAGCCCCTCACACGTGGAACAGGTAAGCTTCCCAAACTCTTGTGTAAATTATTTTTGCTCTGCTTGTTTTATCAACATGCAGATACAAATTTCCAAGGTTGGATGTGACTGGTGACTGGGAGGAATACTGATATGTTGATACATTGAGGAGGCAAAAAGATCCCAGATCAGGTCCCAGAGTATTATAGGTTGAACTCGATGGACATGTGTCTTTTTTCAACCTGACTAACTATGTAACTGTCATCAGGTTACCAGCTGAAGGAAGTGGGGTGGACTGGTACTCCACCCATATGCCTGAACAGAACATTAAAGCACTGGATATAACAATGATTGCAATATATTTTTAAGTGAATGGAATATGGAAAATATTGACCAAATTAGTGTCAAAATCCACAAGAAAAAAACCTGCAAAACATAAAATAGAAAAAAAACAGGCCAAAATGAAACATGTATATCCCATAAATATCAACATTGATGTTAGATATCTCCATGCTATTAACATCTAAATAAAATATAACTGTATACAATCAGTCATGTACTGTATGTATATTGTGTATCTTGGGCATTCCAGAACGTGGAATTTGTAATACAACTTAAAACGCATACAGCTGCTGTTGACATAGCCCATTATATTTTCCTATACTGTCATACTGCTTCTTACAAACACGTACAGTATCACAAGGTTACACATTGCTTGTTTTCCTGCTAAATTCCTATGGTTGTTAGGAATATCATCTTGTGGAAATGTGCACCAGTTACTCCTATAGCATTGCCTTTTAGTGCTCAGGGTGGTACAGGTTATAGATATTTTATGTATTTATTACAGGTATTTATATAGCACCAACAATTTACACATTGCTTTACATGCTGCACATTCACATCAGTCCCTGCCCTCAAGGAGCTTACAATCTAAGGTCCCTATCTCACATACATACTACAGTTGAGCAAATATCATGTGGCATAAAACGATTCAACTGCTGCCATTTTAGTTTCCATTGTCGCTGCTTTCAGAAAATATTTAATCCCGGAGGGAAAATTAAATAAGCTTCAGGCCTAAAATGTATGTTTTAACAAAAAAAAGGGTTCTTGCAGCGAAAAGGTTAAATGCAGCAAGCATAAGTCAGATGTTGCCCATAACAAATAAAGTTTTAGCATTCATTTTATAAAATCATTTTAAGAATGAAAATGAAAACAGTTTCTGATTGGTAGTTCTGCGCTTCAACAATACTCTGCAGATGTTATTATATGTTCAGTATGAGCACTGCTACACTAAAGGAAGTTTTCAGATAATAATTTTCTACAGCTAAGGCATTGGCTCATATCCTTTCATTTATACAGTGCAAACACTGACAAATTCCCTTTCTTCTATTCAGTCATATGTTTTTTTTTATACAACAAGCCCTGATGATTGAATACATATGAATCATCATATGAAGGAAACAGTTGCATTTGATTAAATAAAAATATACATGCTACAACAGCCTTACCCTTTCTGTAGTTGTTGTTAGTTACAAATAACTATGCACAGCAAAAGCAACATTGGTTAGTAGAATCAAACCTCAATCTAAACTCCAGCTTTACCTTTATTTTCCCACACTTATAACCAGTCCTTTCCTATGTTCAAACAGAATACTCTCAATTCTCTGTAAACTTGCATCTCCACACTATAACCCATTGAAGCTGCAGCAGCTATCTTGAGCCCACCTTCATTTCCTGTCTGAATGATCTCCATCATTCATCAATCTCGTCTTCCCCTGATCCATACTCTTAACCCGCCCCTGCCATTAAAGCTATTAGCTTGCTCTGCCATCAGTCTTTTTGTTCCTGAGCTTTATGTGAAAAACACATCCCTTCAAATGTGCCTGCAACCTGTCAACCAATCAGCGGACTGAACAGCTAAAGTCTGCAGCACCCATTGGCCAGTAGGGGAAAAAAAACATTAAAAACATTTCTGGGGATGTGTTCTTTCATATAATTATTTTGAAAAATATCTGGGGTAGGAAGCTGTGGCGTTACAGGAGCCTGCCAGCCCTAACCATCAATCTCAGAGCAAAGAGCAGTATATAGATCTGGTGATGGCTGTACTGGGTCTCAATACAGATATTTCTTGAAAAACAAAATGATTTGATTGAAAAATATTGTATGTTGATTGGGGAAGAGGAAACAATGTAAGGTATTATATGCCTACATTACACTTCAACTTTAAACAGGATACATCTTTTAACTTTCATTACTCACGCTCAGTACTTGCATTAACAATAAAGGTTTTTTCAACTGAGAAAGAAGTCGGATTCTAGATACATTATATAGAATGATTCCATTTTTTACTCCACAACAGTGACTACAAATAAATGGTGTTTCTTTTCAAATTCATTATGTACAATTATTTAATTACCATTCATTTTAAAATAGTTACCAAAAAATCTAATTGAGTGCATCAAATGACATTAAAATATGATCCCCCCTCCCAAAAAATTATTTGCTATAGCATATGATACGTGAAGGAATAAACCCCAATAATGTAGTGACTAACACAATAAAAATAAAACATAATCTGGTCCATATTGCAGTGCTAATTCCTAAGTATTAGGGTACCATGTTGGAGTATCGTAGCAAATACTTTAAATCTATGTCAATAATTCCCACTAAAAGGCAGCCTGCTTATTTAGTAATATAGTATTCTGGAACTCCCCAAGCACAGACAAAGGCTTAACACAGCTGAGAACTAATGGAGTTCATGTATGCATTTAGAATGTGATGCAATCCTTTAGAAATCTGAAATAAGTAAACAATGCACTAATGCAAGTGCTAATACTATGTAAAAACTTTAAACAAAAATACTACTTTCAAGCTCAATGTAATTTGTAATGGTCTTGCTTCTCCGTCTACATAAACCCAATGGAATTTTATCTGGCACTGAGTCTACTGTGTGTGTCCAAATGAAAGCAAAAATGGAAAGTCCCTTCCTAGTGTGGCCCTTCCAAGTACTCACAAAAAGAGGCCCCATTCCAAAATCCCAAATTGTACATAAGTTGGTGAAGAACAGTGACACTTTGTGTAAACATACTGTAATACCACATTTTACCAGCAGGTGGCCCAGCAAGCAAAATCTAAAACAGCAGCTCTCTGCCACTGTTTGACAGTACAAAGGGAAATACACTGGAGCCAGAAAAATATACTCCGCAAGTATGTGTTTATGTGTGTAAACAAAACAAATATAAGATTTTGCCTCTGCAGCTCAGTGATGAAAAATAACAAACTGTTCCAGGCGTCTAATTGTGAATTTAACATATGGATGGCATCTGTGTTTTGGTAGTCATTGAACACAGCATAATTATGAAATCAGTGATATAAAGCATTCAAATGTGATTTCTTTTTCCTGTTGTTTGAAGTAATGAGCACATACTGTACATACCACTAACTGGCCTGCTTTATGAACAAGAATTTAAAAAAATGTGTGATTTAATAACAATGAAGTGTTTAATTAAGTGCCTTTATACTGCTAGTGCATTTATACTGGTGACCCAACTGGTTAATTACAAAAACTGAGATTTTAGTTTTGTGTGGTTACTGGAAAGTTGGATCATATACTTCTATTATCTCTTGGGGACCCCATTGGAAAGATAAACGGACAGGAACAAAGTTGGGAAGTATGGCAGGGAGATCTTATTGTTGGAGGATTCAAGACATATACAAATACTAGGGGCTGACACAGACTAGCTAGCTCAACCTATAACTAAAATATAATTTTACGATGGATTGACTATTTAATAAATTCCCCTCTCGGTTACTTAAAAGCAACAAACATGTCTCTAACCATTTCATAGATCTGTC